GGAATCGGCCCGGACGGCTTCCCGGGCGCCGGAAGCAGAAATTCAGCATTTTCGAAAGAAAAATGTGTATTGGAATGGCCTTTTTTCGGCGCCGCCTCGGAACTCGATTTTCCGGCGCCCGGGCGCCGGCTCGGGCGCCGACCCGGGCGTCCGGCCCGGGAGCCGAGCCGGGTGCCGGCCCGAGCTCCGGAATCGGCCCGGACGGCCTCTCGGGCGCCGGAAGCAGAAATTCAGCATTTTCGAAAGAAAAATGTGTATTGGAATGGCGTTTTTTCGGCGCCGCCTCGGAACTCGATTTTCCGGCGCCCGGGCGCCGGCTCGGGCGCCGACCCAGGCGTCCGGCCCGGGAGCCGGGCCGGGTGCCGGCCCGAGCTCCGGAATCGGCCCGGACGGCTTCCCGGGCGCCGGAAGCAGAAATTCAGCATTTTCGAAAGAAAAATGTGTATTGGAATGGCCTTTTTTCGGCGCCGCCTCGGAACTCGATTTTCTGGCGCCCGGGCGCCGGCTCGGGCGCCGACCCGGGCGTCCGGCCCGGGAGCCGAGCCGGGTGCCGGCCCGAGCTCCGGAATCGGCCCGGACGGCCTCTCGGGCGCCAGAAGCAGAAATTCAGCATTTTCGAAAGAAAAATGTGTATTGGAATGGCGTTTTTTCGGCGCCGCCTCGGAACTCGATTTTCCGGCGCCCGGGCGCCGGCTCGGGCGCCGACCCGGGCGTCCGGCCCGGGAGCCGGGCCGGGTGCCGGCCCGAGCTCCGGAATCGGCCCGGACGGCCTCCCTCCCGGGCGCCGGAAGCAGAAATTCAGCATTTTCGAAAGAAAAATGTGTATTGGAATGGCCTTTTTTCGGCGCCGCCTCGGAACTCGATTTTCCGGCGCCCGGGCGCCGGCTCGGGCGCCGACCCGGGCGTCCGGCCCGGGAGCCGCTCTCGGCGGCGAGCAAGAGCACCGAGCCCGAGTAAAAAAGGAGGAAGTCTCGAGCCGGAGCGTTGTTGTTGTTGGGGGGCCGGTTTTGGCGGAACCCCAAAACGCCTGAGCGTGAGCCTCAATTTCAGAGGAAATGCGGCCGGCGCCTCGGCGAGAGCGCCAGGGCGAATATAGGGGGTCCAACAATAATAATTGTTTAGTAATTAAGGTTCAACAACAACACAACAACACAACAACAACAACAACAACAACAACAACAACAACAACAACAACAACAACAACAACACCAACAACAACAACAACAACAACAACAACAACAACAACAACAACAACAACAACAACAACAGCAACAACAACAACAACATCAACAACAACAAAAACAACAAAAACAACAAGAACAACATCAACAATCAGATTACCCTCATGCGCGATGTTTCCGCACGAAACAGGCGACCATACTGATAACCATCCCCATCACGGGGGATTAATGTTCTTTCGGGGGTCCGATATTCCCATTTCCAGGTCCCCCGCCCAATGAGGTCTTGCAAAAACCTCCTCCGAGGAATTTCAACACATCCCGCCTCGAAAACGCATGCCCGCGCCTTGATGCGCCGATGCGAGACCGCCAGTGGAGTCCCAGCCAAAGGTAAAGCACAAGGAAGTATCGAGCGACAGGATTACCTTGGTGGGAATGGGGGCTGTCGGCGGCGAGGCAAGGACCTGGCCCTGAATAGAAAGGGAGGAAGTCTCGAGCAGGACCGCTGTTGTTGCTGGGAGCGGCGCCACTGCTGAAGAAAGTAGGGCGCTAGTCCAGCGTAAAGCAAAACGAAGTCTCGAGCGGGAACGCTGGTTTTGTTGGGGCGGCGGTTGTCGGGGGCGGGGAGGAACACCGCCTTGAGTAAGAAGGGAGGAAGTCTCGAGCGGGAGCCGTGGTTTTGTCGGGACGGGGGCTGTCGGCGGCGAGGAACACCACCGATTGAGGCAAAGGGGAGGAAGCCTCGAGCGGGAGCGTTGTTCTTGCTGGGAGCGGCGCCAACTCAAAAAAAATCACCCAGCGTAAAACGGGAGGAAGTCTCGGGCGGGAGCGCTGGTTTTGTCGGGGCGGCGGCTGTCGGCGGCGAGCAAAAGCACCACCTTGAGAAAACAAGCGAGGAAGTCTCGAGCAGGACCGTTGTTTTTTGCTGGGGGGCGGCGCCGATGAGAGAACGAGCAGCGCGCCGGTCCAAGGTAAAACGGGAGAAAGTCTCGAGCGGGAGCGCTGGTTTTGTTGAGACGGATGCTTTCGGCGGCGAGCAAGAGCACCGGCCCTGAGTAAAGAAGGGTGAAGTCTCGAACGGGAGCATTGTTGTTGTTGTTGTTGTTGTTGTTGTTGTTGTTGTTGTTGTTGTTGTGGGGCCCGCTTTGGCGGTCCCCAAAACCGCGCGAGCGCGAGCCTCATTTCAAATAAAAATGCAGCCGGCGCCTCGGCGAGAGCGCCAGGGCGCCTGTAAGGGGTCCAACAATAATAACTGTTTAGTAATGAACATTCAACAACGACAACATCAACAACAACAACGCAAAAAGCAGAATCCTCACCACGGAACCTCAGTTCAGCCACGCACCCAGGGACAATGAATGACTGTTCGGCCCCCTCACTCTGATATACATGTGTGTACATATATATATATATATATAATATATATATATATATATATATATACACATGTATATGTATATGTATATTATATGTATATGTATATGTATATGTTTTTATGTATATGTATATATATACATATATATATATATTTATATATATGGTCGCCCCCCCCCCCCAGCGCCCCCCGAACCACGAAAACCACAAATCCATCGTTGATCGTCTGCTCCTTCTCATCCTCCTCCTCTTCATCCTCCTCCTCTTCCTCCTCCTCCTCCTCCTCCACACAAGATCATAAATCTACTTCTCCCATGCATCCCATATCACTTCTTCCATGCATCTGATCACCAACGCCCTGCCCTTTGCCTCCCGACAAAAATAATAATAATAATAATAATAAAAAGTGTTTGGCCCCCGATGCAAGGAAACGTTGTGTAGTTGTGTTGTTTTGTGTTTTTGTCTGTGAATCAACGAAGCACTGTGTATTTCTGCTTTGGAACCCCATGCTCGCCGCGGCCTCCCTACCAGCACCCTTCTCTCTGTTCCCCCCCCCCCAAAAAAAAACAGTGTTTGGCGCCCTCGATGCAAGGAAACGCTGTGTTTTTTTGGGGTCTGTGAAACAACGGAACACTGCTTCTAGGTTTATATTTATATATATACATATATATATATAAATAACTTTGGACCCCCCATGCTCGCTGCGGCCTCCCTACCAGCACCCGTCACCCTGCTTCCCAAAGCAACAAAAAAACTACACAGTGTTTGGCGCCCTCGATGCAAGGACAAACTTGTATGTTTGTTTTGTGGGGTATTGTTTGGTATGTGAATCAACGAAACACTGTGTATGTTTGGTTTTAGTGTTTTTTTTTCTCGTTTTGGCACTCCATGCTCGCCGCGGCCTCCCTACCAGCACCCTTCTCTCTGCTTCCCAAAACCACAAAAAACGCGTTTCGTTGATTCACATACCAAAAGAAACACCCAACACACACACATCGCGTTTCCTTGCATCGAGGGCGTCAAACACTGTGTATGTTCGGTGTTTCTCGGTTGTTGGGATGCAGAGAGAGGAGTGCTGAGAGGGGGGGCGCGGCGAGCATGGGGCCTCGCAACACTAAAGAATACACCGTGTTTCATTGTTTCACAGATCCCCAAGAAACACACAAAAAAACATAATGCTTCGTTGTTTCACGGGCCCACAAAAAAACGTTCGATCGCATCGACAGCGCCAAACATTATGCATATTTCTCATATCTGGCATGTTCCCTTGCAACGAAGGCGCCGCGCGCTGTGCGCGATTGCTTTTTGTTTTGTTTTTGAAAGCACAGGGGCGGGCGCTGAGAGGGAGGCGACAGGTAAGCGACGGCGACGCATCACTTGTTCTCGATGAAGCCGCGTGACACGCGCGTGAATCTGGGATCGATAAGAGATCTGCGAGGGGCGATTGCGCGGGCTAGCGCCGCATCAGGGGCACAGGGGCGCGCGCCACCTCGGCGGCGCGCGCCCCATCGGTGCCCGAGCCAACTGCGGCAGCAACGCCCTCGCGAAGCAAGCTGGCGAACTCTCTCAGAGGCCGCCGAACTCCCTCAGAGGCTTGAGGCAGAGCTGGCAGCAGCCCCGCCCTGAATCTCCGACGCGGACTCATCGACCAAGCGATCGAGCTTCTCGTTATCACCCTTCGCGCGACTCCCGACATCGACGCGGGGCTGTTTCGGAGAAGGCGTCCTGTCCAAGTCGATGGTGACCCCGTGGCCGGCCATCAGCTTGCGCGCCCAGACGCAAGCCTCCGCCTTCGCCACGGCGCTCGCGGGGGCGGCTGGGATCGCCTCGCAAGGTGCTTCCATGTCGCCACCGTAGCCGATGACGCCCTCCTCGTCCTGGTTCGCCTCCATCTCCTGGGCGGCCGCGTCAATCCCCGCGTCGGCGGGGTTGGCAAGGGCAGCGGGCTGCGCTGGCTCTTGTGCGGGCTGTTCGGCGGCATCGCCCCCGCCCCCCTTGAACTCCTGCTTGGCCTCCGCCATCAGCTTCAGATGTCGCGCTTCTCGAACGCCAGGAGATTGTCGAATTCTTCCTGGTTGCGCTTCGCAGCGCTGCGCTGGAAGTTCTGGAGGCACTTGCCATCCCCAGGTGCGATGTGGCCACCCATGAGAGGAAGCTTCATCACGAGCGCGACCGTGCCAGCCGGGCGGACATACGCATTGCACTTCGCGCTCAGTAAGATGCCGCAACGCTTGAGCATCGCGCCGGTGTTGCTGAGAGACAAGTTCTTTGGAAAAGGCGGGTTTGATCATCGCCGCCAAGTAGGCCGTGGTGCACTTCTCCTTCTCGCCAGAAGTCGCGGCGAGGAGCCAATCAGTCTGCTGCGGCTCGCTCTCGGCATGGCACTCGTTATCGCCGCCGAAACGAGCTTGATGCCTCTTGAACTTGGCCGCGCCCCAGCGCGTAGACGTTCGCTTCGACTTGCGTCGGGTCGAAGAACGCATTCAACGCGCGCGGCCGTTGGTCGGCCACGTCGCCGTCGTCGAACGTGCAGGGCGCCCAAGTCTCGCCAACCTTCGTGGAGATCTGAAGAAGGATTTCATGGCGCTTCCGAGCCTGGCTCGGAAGCACAACGACCGCCCCGTCCAAGACCTCTGACCTCTCCTCTGCAGAAGTCCATCTCCGAGGCAACGCGAACGGCGGGAGCGGCGACCGCGCGGCCGCGCTGCTCGCCCACGCAGTCGGCGCGGCACCTGGCCAACGCCATGGCCATGATGTACATCAACGGCGTCTTGCCAAACTTGGCCTCGCCAATCAGGAGGGCGGCGTTGCCGGGAAGTGTGCGGATGATCCTGTCGACGACTGGCATGTACTCTTTGCGTATGTCTCCCTTCAGCAAGGGGTAGTACGTCTCCTTGGCAGCGAAGTGGTCTCTGTCATTGAGGATCTGGAGCCCTTTGTTGACAAACTCCTTTTTCACGTTGGCGATCGGGGGTGCTGGGTTGCAGCGCTCTTGCTCCGCCCGCAGCAACTGCTCGCCAGTCCAGTTCGCGAGCGGCGCCTCGTCCTTGATATGCTGCGTCGCGTCGCCGAACTCCTTCTGCTTCTGCGCCGCGTCGCCCTCGTCGACAGGCCCGCGCAGCGAGCTTGGGCGCCCGCGCCTCCAATGGCGAGACAGCAGGCCACCCATCCGCTCGAGCACGATCTGGAAAGTGCGCAACCTGTCGAAACTATCTGGCCTGAAATCGATCGCACAAGCGTCGCCTATGATGAGTTCGCCCTTTATCTCGGCCATGGTGCGCCCATTGCCGAGAAACGTGAAGTGCTTCAGGATGACGTGCGGTTCTGGGTCTGCAGGGTTCTTGCAAATCAGCACGTGCATAGTGCAAGGCAGCTCGTCCTCTGTGTCATTGTGGCCGAGAGGGGGCGGCAGGTCCTTGCACCTGCCCTCCGCCACCATCTTCTTCGCGTCATCCCACGCCGCTGCTTCCATCCCAGGCGCGTCAGTGATCACCTCGAAGACGGATTTGATATGCTGCCTCGGCCTGTAGTTCCAATGCTCGATCGGCAAATCGAACAAGGATGCGGTCCCGACGGGGTCGCGGCCCAAGTCACCGCCCACGTCGGGCTTGCCGAGGGCGACAGGATTATCCTTGGCCTTGGCGTGATTCCACACCTCCGCGAGCTTGTCGTTCGTGTGGTTGGGGTGTTCCAACCAAATACCTAAGCCCTTCATTCCCTGCGCCGGCACGTTCGCCGCCCCCATCGCCGCCTTGGAAGGCATGGCTAAGGAGCGGTATCGAGGCGCACTGGTCGGCCAGCCTGATCGTTGGCGCAGGCTGCAGTCGATGCCAGTTGAGCCAGAAACTGCTGCGGCATCCTGGAATTTCAAGCGAGGCAGCGAGGCGGAGGAGCGAGTGGAGCGGGGCCCAGACGTGCGCTGTTTTGACGGCCTTAGAATTAATATTCACGTCCGCACACATATCGCTCGGGCACTCTCGCTGCGCTGGCCAAACATTTCGCCGCGCGGGAAGCAGCGCGGGGCCAAGGTAGGTGGCGCGTGAGACGGAGACATTCAATGCCTCTGCCGCGACAGATGCGCTCGCTCACTCGTGCTGCTGCCGGAACAGAGCGGTCAGCATCTTGCCCGTCTGCGCCCGCGGGCCCTCGCCCTTGTTCCAGTAGCGCCACTGGAAGGACCTCGCTCTGTTTGCCAGCGCGCGGGAGTTCACCTTGCGGCCAGGGCCAAGGTGGCGCCTCAACCCGCCCCAGACGCGATCAATGATCTGGGTCCCGCACTTCACCCAGGCGCGCTTGTTCTTGTTGAAGCATCCATTGTCTGCAAGGTTGTGATACCTGATCTTCGTGAAGGCTGGCTTCACGCATGCGTACTTGCCGTTCACCTGCGAGGAGCGGCAAAAGGGGCCGACTGTCCTTTGCCTGCGCTGACTCTGACAATGCCCACATCGTACCTCTGATCAAGTGGCCGAGCCAATTGACTCTGGCAGATAAAGGACACCCCCGCAATCGGCGTCGGCGAGGGATGGCCACCTTCCCCTCCCCCACCCACCCACCCACACACAAACAAACACCAACGGCCTTCATGCGCTTCTGCATGTGGACGACCCAGTCGCGGGCCACGCCGTCAACGCGGAGCTTGTAGGAGCGGGCCCCGTCTGCGCGGAGTGTGACTTTGCGTTGCTTGAGCCGCCCCTCCTCGCCGTCTGCATTATCCTCGTTCCTGTCGCCCTCTTTCCATTTGCGTATTGATATATATATATATATATATATATTATGGTTCGCTCCTCCTCGTCCTCTTCCTCCTCCTGGTTCCCCTCGCCCTTCTCCTCGCCCTCCTCGGCCCACCCCTAACCTCCCCCTTCTCTTTTTTTCTGCCCTCCCTGAAACGGGCGGAACAGCATGATCTATAGGGGGTAGTGTGGTCTACAAAGAAAGCGCAAGCAAAAACATACTTGTCAACCGAAGGGAACGGATTGACCTCCGCCCCCCACGGGTTCCAGCACCGAATAGCGCTTGTGGGGCAATCCCAACGGACGGCCGACAACGAGCGCGTCGGGGAGGGCTCGCCGTCCGCGGGGGGCGGCCCCGTCTTCGCCACCGCCGCAATTGGGCCCCGCCCGCCCGCTCTCTCGACCGCCCAACCTGCGCCCCGGAAGTCCGTCGCGAGGCGGGCGCCGAAGCCGAGCTCGAAGACGCGGTCTGGCGTCTGCAGCCGCAGCGGCGCCAGCGGCCGCAGGGCGGCGTCGGGCCAGGCCGCGCCCAAGTCCGACTTGTCGAGGGCCTGGTAGCGCACGCGCGCGACGTCGAAGAACACGCCGTACTTCGCCGCCACGCAAGAGGACACCGCCGCGGGCACCGCGCGCAAGGAGCAGAGCCTGAACTGCCCCTGGCCCAGCATCCTGGGACATTATTGAAACAAGAATCAGAAACACGGTCAAAGCGATAACCAAAACCATTGGATCCTCAAGCGATCAAAACCCAAATCAGACATTGCAACCGCCAGCAAAACAATACACCAATATTAATTTTGAACATACAGTGAGAGAGGAACAAAACCATAGCCAGAAACCAAAACCAAGACCTGCGCAGCTGCGGCGGCGGGCGGCTGGCCAGCTCGTGGAGAGCGCGCGCGTCGCCAGCGCTGGGCTCGCTGTCTGCGGGCTGCAGCCTGTTGTCCGCGGGAGAGCCCCGCTCGCTGCCCCTCGGCGCGGGCGCCTCGCGCGGCCGCGGCGTCTCGTTGCTGCCCTGCGCGCCCTGGCTCCCAGCGACCTCCGTCGCGGGCGTCTCCTCTGGGCGCGGGCGCCCGCCGCCGTCGGGTTCGCTGCGCCGCGCAGAGCGTGAGCGTTCAAGAGGAAGGGCGTCCCTGCCCCTCAGGTCCGCGCGCCAGGAGGCGGCCGTGTCGGGGTGCAGCTGCGCCAGCCACTCCTCCTGTGAGATTGCGCCCGCGACCGTGGATTCTCAGTCTGGTCAGCTATAGTAATGTTGTTCTTCATTGTGCACGCACTTTCGTTTGAAATCACTGCGCGGTTTTGGCAATGATGCCAGCGTGCGGAATTACTGCCATGATTATCTTTGAACGCTGTATTCAATCATTGTTCTGGTGGCGCATGCGCTCATTGATGCGGTGCCGATTAAGGTGTTGGTTATGCAATCAATGTCCTTGCGGTTGTTGCTTTTGGTTGTGGTTGCGACGTTCGATATTGTGATGCACGCGGTTGTGGCTGCAAGTCAAGATTTTCACATTTACGTTTCCTGCGGTCGCTGTCGTTGCGTGCGTGGTTGTAGTTATAGCGAACGTCATGGCAGTGATTCCGCCCATTGCGTTTGTTTTGGCGTGAGTTTTCGATCTGGCTCTCGTTATGAGCATCGAGGTAATTTTGGTGAAGATTGTTTGTGTGTTCTTTTGCTATGGCTATGGTTGTGGTTACGGTTGTGTCGTATGGTTCTGTTATAAGTAAAGCTGGTTGTGTCTGTATGTGGTTGTGAACCTATCGTTATTGTTGTAGATATGTTTCTGGGCATGGTCGCGGGTTGCAAACTCATTGTCCTGCGTCTGGGTCGGGTGCGCGGCCAGCTTGCGCAGCACCGCCCCGTGTTGGTGGCCGGTCTTCGCCCCAGTGGCAGCGGGGCCTCGGCAGAGGACGCAGAAGCCAAGTTTGTTTAGGATAGACGGCTTGCCCGTGGATCCCCAAGCGCACGCTTTGCTATCACAGTCAACCCCCATGGCTGGTCTGCGCTGACGGCGGCGGTCGTGGCGGGCGGCGCGCCACGTAAAGCTTGAAACCAAAAGCGGCTATAGGAGGAGCCTCGCGAAAGAAGAAACATCGGCAGAGTAAGAATCCACACGAACACGATTAAGTACATGATGGCAAGATGCGCGAAGAGCGTGAAGCTCTTCCTCCATCTCCCATCATCATCTTTATCAGCATTATCACCATCATCCTCATCATCATCCTCATCGTCGCCATTATCGTCGTCATCGTAATTGCGATTATGTTCGCACTCGTACTCGTACTCGTACTTGTACTCATCATCATCATCATCATCATCATCGTCATCGTCATCGTCATCATCATGCGCATCCTTGTCGTCGTTTCTTCTCAGTCCACCTCCGCTCCTCCTCCTCCTCGTCCTCCCCCTCACTCTCTTTTCTCCACATCCGAATCCTCTCGCCCTCAGCGTCCTCCTCCCGATGGGGTGGAAGCATGAGGGCCCTTCCACTGGGGCCGTCGGCGGAGCTCAATATGGAGCAACTTACTGTTGAGAGGTGGGCTGACATGGGTGAGAAGCGGCATGCAACGTCTCCCACTGAAGCCTTCGGTGGAACTCCCAACGGGGCCATGAAAGGTATGAAGAAGTGAGACGGATTCGGCGACAGTGATGAAGACAATGATGGTGATGGTGATGATGATGTGACGGCGATGATGATGGTGCTGATAGTGATAATGATGATGACGACGGCGATGATGATGATGATGATGACGATGGTGACGATGATGATGATGATGATGATTTGTCCTCGACGTCAGGACCAAAATCTGATATCAGGATATGGTGTACAATGAAACCAGATTTAAAATGATCCGTCGCAGAGAGCCGACTGTCTCGCGTTGCCCCGCTTGGGCCAGACTGCCAGGGTGCTGCTCGGAGGGGCCTCCTGCGCAGCGCGTGCCATGCAGCGTCGAAATGCTAGCTGAGATATTCGGCCGCTTCTTCTTCGGCGGTTGCATCATGCTCAGGCGGGGCCCCCACCTCACGCAGCTCCTCTGGATGCGCTGACGCGGCGAGGGGGGGGGGGGGGGGGAGGCGCGACGGAGGAGGGAGGGTATGTGGCCGTGACCGTGCCGCTGCTGGCAGGGAGGTCTTTGCCTCGAACGAAATTGACGCGGCGTTGAAACGCCTCCTCTCCGCTGTGGCCTGCGTTGCGGCCTGCAGGCTCGCTCTAGCAAAAAAAAAAAAAAAAAAAAAAAAAAAAAAAAAAGACGGGTTCACTGCTCGAGCGTCTCTAGCCTCCTCCGCGAGCCAGCCCACTGGGCCCACGTCTCGGCGGTGGACCGCCTGGCCCTCGGCCTCGAGGGCGCGGCTGATTAGGATTCGGCCCTCCCACATGGGCGCGACTAGCGCGCCGATCACCAGCTTCGTCTTGGCGTGGTCGTAGCACTTTTCCAGGCGCGCGGAGTTGATGGCGTCGAGGATATCTTCCATGCTGATCTCCGTCTCCGCCTCGATGTCCTCGATGGCACCCTTCATGGAGCCGCCCGCGTCGCGCTTGCACAGTCCTTCTAGGGCCGTCAGCGCGCGGGGCGGAGCTGGCGACCCTATCCCCTGCAGGCATTTCTTGTCCTCTGGGGGGCCGCTTTTCCTGAGGGGGTCCGTAACGTGCTCGTGGCCTTCGTGCTCCTGCGTGGTGGCACCTACCTGCTTGACATGCTCGTCGTAAATGTCTAACTGCCTGATCTCGATGTTCCGTTCAGCCTTCTTCGTAGCCCCGTACATGCCCAGTGAGGCCAGGGTGTCCTGCTCACTGATGTTCTGTGCGTATTGAGTTCCATTCTGTATGAGTCCTATCCTCAGCTACAATCGCCATAGATGGTCGAAACAGTAAGATAAACGTGCGCATGCATGAATGTCCTGAATCACGTTGCCAGTGGGGCTTCTTCCTGTTTTTTCCAATGTCGAAAGTCTGGATGATGGTAGAGCTGATGTCGCGATCAATCTCGAGCTTCCGTCGACTGGGTTGATAGA